GAACTCCTTGTCCATTACCTGACTCGCTCATGATTGAGAAGCTGCGGGGCCGAAGAACCCAGCGGAGTTTCAACATGTGGTGAGGCCCAATCCCGTAACAGCTAACCATGGTGACCGGGAATAATGTACTGTGTACGAGTGTGCTGTGCGTCAATTGACACGGCGTGGAGGTTTGAAGACGGACGAACCACTGCGAACGCTTCTGGAGGCTCTGGAGCACATAACGTGCATGGTGCTGGGATGTCATCAGAAAAAGAGGAGGCGCTGGCTTCGGCCAAAGTGTGGGACGGTGGACCGAGGTGCGATGGGGCAACCCTCCACCAAACCGAGAGCTGAATGGAGACTCCATTGGTTGCCGCGGACGACGCAACCATTGGCGATTGCCTCTATCCACATTTTTAGCTTCGCTTCTAGAAGACCGGTGGACCAACATTGGCATTGGTAACGTGTTTCTTTCCTTCCAGGGCTGCAAGAGTTGCCAACTTTGGACACTGTTGCGATCATCGATGTTTGTGCCATGGAAGAGGCTCAATTATGTCTCGCGTTGTTCTTCGACATCGGTTGCTGGCCTGGGTATGTGTGAATGGTGGCATATTGGAATTCCAAGGATGTTGTCCAGATGATGGATGTTTTTGGTGTGCGTTCGTTCGTTCGGACGGCAGCAAGGCAAAATCAAACGGAACGGAACAATTCACGGAGAGATTTGACCATACAAGCGTCGTAGGATGGGAAAAAACGACGAATTCCGTCACGGACGACGTCGGTGTCGGCAGCTGCCTGACGTGAAGGCACCTGCCTCCTAGAACAAAGTAGCCGCTAGGTATTGTTGCCAAGTACCGATTCGCTCATAGTCGGCAGTCGTGAGCCAGAGCTATCCGCTATCGAACTCGATTTGGCAGTCGTTGACCCGTCGTGTGCCAGACTCAAAAGATCAAAGAGCCTTTCCAGAACCGATGCATTCCGCATGGCAAGGTGCCTTCAGGATTTGATACCTATCCACGAACCAAATCTTGTAGGCCCATCGGGTACCGAGGTGCATTCCATCTCCGTCAAACGTGGTGACGCCAGGCCGCAAACTGGCCGGTCGGAGGACGGAGCTTATGGACCGGGATGGAGAAGGTCAGGCATAGGGAGGTCGCATTGAGCCGCATCGCTTCCTAAGATCCCCTCCTGTCAATGTAGCATATCGGTAGTGCGTCGGTTGCTTTCTTTCGTCTATAGTTTAAGTCGACGGACGGCTCGGCGGTAGGCCATCGAAGTCGGACTTGCAATGTGAATGTGCCGTTGGGTTGGTTTCAGGGCAACAAGCACATGCAAATTTGCAAGGAGAGAAAGAGAACTCTTCTGGCCACATGCAATGTCACGATTTTCACAAACTCTCGTTCAACTCCCCTCCTGCTTACGGAAGTGATTCCACTTCAGAAAAAAAAAACCTTCACGCTTTGGTCCCCAGAAAGCCGACTGCACATGGGTCCCAATGGCTCCATACTGCTCTTTGGCCTTCCGCATTCAGGTATATCGCCTATGTGCCCCCTTGATACAGTATGTACACCACACGTAGGGCGTATTGAGCCTACCTAGTCAATGGCCGTGTAGCATCCGCTGGTGCAACTCGACTTCTGCCTGTGACAAACAGATGTGGCAGGGAGTCCAGACCGGGAAGTGGGGTTTCCAAAGCCCACTCTGGAATTGTGATGTTTTTGTGCCATTGAAAACATCACAGCCGCAGTCAGCACGCACAACTCGCACATCGGAAACAAGTGGATGAGTTTGCGGATCCATGTCGATCTCGTGGCCCGTACGTGTTTGGATTTGGGCCCGAATGCCAATGGCGGAGCACACAAAGCAACGGGTGCGACGGAGTCGTGTTGGATACTCGCGGATCGGACGGGGTGATGGAGGCTGGCGTTGAAGCCACCTTCGGTTTCGTGACGCTGGTTGACGCTTGGTTGACGCCAGGCCAAAGTGAGACACGGGCGAGCATGGGACAGGCCTCGGTGATGGTCGCATTTTCCCAGTCTTGGCTCTTAACCCGGAGAGCTGAGAGCTTCCGAAATCTTTCCAGAAGATTGCTGAGAAAGGCAGGGACGGTTGGCCACTTTGGGGGACAGCCCTAACCCCAGTCCTCGTCGATGGGACGATCACCAAACCTAGCAAACCTGGCCGAAACGAGCCCCGAGGACAAACATCTCTATGGACTTGCGGCAGCCCTTTTCAGCACATTGTGGGTGGCCGTGCGTTCATCCTGTCTTCACAAGCGTCGAGCTGTCTCAGACAAAAAAGACCCTTGAAATGTCCTCAAAGCGAAAGGGAAAGGACGCTAACCGTGTCACCGGAACATTAGCTGGGTAAATTCAGGGGAATCAAAAGGGACCGTCTGATGTCTAAACACTCCCAAATCTTTCGGTCTTGTCGAGAAGATATTCGGCTTGTCGTGTTATAGCGTTAGCATGTCTGTGCGTGCGCGTTTCAAGATCAGATGAATCCGAGGCAAGAGTTGAGACTCAAGATGAAGGTGGTTCGGGGATTCCGTGTGTAATAACACCACCGAGCCTCAATTCCCGAACTCCACATGATATTTTGCGTCTCGGCCGGTGCGGTGATCTCCCCACGGTCAACCACCAACACGCCGATGAGAGAAGCCGCGCTTGCGGCCACTCGAGATGTTGGACTTGCGGACTGAAAAGAGTTAGCAGGGTGTCCGCTAGCGGGCATTAGCAGGACACCCCATGTTCTTTTCTTTTTTGTTTGGGGTGAAATTGAAGATGCGGGAATTTTCAGCACTCCAAGCACTGTTTTTCCGGGGTCTGCTCCATTGCGAGTCGGAGTCGATGGGGAAACCTACTGAAAGGTACGTGAGTGAATGGAGAGGTCCTCACAAACCCACAAATTCCATCCATCACATTTTGTCAAGATTTGATGCTGAAGGTGATGGGACCGATGTCGTTTCGAATGTGATATTGACCAAAGGCCCGTCACTGAATCGTTATAGCGCACGCCGACCACTGGATGGAGGCTCGCAATTGGCCATACCTCTTCTTGCGCAGATGAAATGCCCAAGCAGCCTGATGAGGGTGACTCTGGATTGTGTTTCAAAATAAGAATATTGAATCTTTGGACGTGGCATCCCGCATCGACACAATCACGAGACTACGGGAAGAAAGAGAGATTTTCAAAGGACGAGTGGAAACTGTGCTGGCAGCACTTGATAGAGAAGATGCACGACAGATTCCTTGTAAAGAAGGATGGTGATTATGGTAAAGGATACATGATGACTTGTAGTCGGTACTTGAGCGCACCAACAGGCCCGTCCGTGCTCCGTTCAGGCTTCAAATGGTTCGCGGAAAGGTGTTATGCACCGTTACAGCACCTGCCTCACACCGTCATCCCACGCAGATGGTGCTGAGTGCAGTTGCGACGACGGAACCGTTATCTTTCACCGGCCCCGAACAAAAGATGATACAACTACCGTATATTCGTGGCAACGGAACAATGAAATGTTGATTGTTCTTTGGAAGAGTTCAATAAACGTCAGGCGCTGGCCTGCCATATCTGTCTGCTGTTGATGGCAGCACCCGTTCGTTCCCACGGCCAAGGGCACGCTGTCGGGAAAATGCGTGTTGACATATGAAACCATCACGATTCATCTCTTTCTTTTTCTATTCCCGATATGATATTGTCAACTTGGCTTCCCGACTCCACGATCCTCGGTCGTGGATGCCCCTGTGTACCTTGAAACTATCGACAGTTCGGAGGAGGCATGGAGAGGAAGGAGGGTGCCAAGGAGTTGATGGAGACAGTGCACCTAGTGAGCTTGCGATGCGCTAATTCATGCCCGCCTGCAGCTAAAGTTGACTAACGTTAGGGGCACCTGCCAGCTCGCTCTGTCGCTTAAAGGCGAGAACGGGGTTTCTACCGGCAAACAGTTGGGTATGCGGAGTGAGGTTTCTCGAAAACATGATGGAAGTTGTTTTTATCTTGACACCAAGTAAGACGGGCAACAATTCAAGTTGATAGAGGTAGTGGTAGGTGTGTCCGGGAGCGAACTTTACCTGCCCCTGGGAGCCCGGAGTACCTACAGTAGGTAACAGTGCCCGGCTGCCCGGTGTGCCAGTGTCGCTACGATGAACCTTCCTCCACTTTCAAGAGACCCCTGTCCAGTTACCTCGGACCCACACGCTCCTTGTGTTGCTCTCACACATGGAAGTCGAGGAGGAGGACTGCCTCTTGCCGCCCTCCATGTCTCTCAACCAAATCAAGGGGTGGGGATGCTAAGTAGCGAACCAGTGCTGCGACAATGTTCAGAGACAAGCACCTCAGGAACAGAGTACGGGGCGGCGGTCCATAGTCCATTACTTTACCACTTTGTTTTTATCCCCTATCCAGCAGCCTCATGCTTCGGTACAGTGAACTCTCGAGCACGTTGTAGGTACAGTACGTAAGTGCCGAAGGGGCCCATGTCGAGCAAGTGGCAGGTACCCAACAAGGTAGAGGTACCTGGCTCCAACTCAGCAGGTGCATGGAAAGTGGGCAAGGGATCCTGGATGGAACGGTGCTTCGCATCTGGATCTTTTTGACAACACCACTCCACCTTCCACAAAGTGCAGTCCCGTTCGAGGTCGAGGTAGGGATGCTATGGAGCATTTTCAATCCAACCTTTTTTCGTCTTTTTTTTTTTCCGTTTTCTCACTGTGCTTAAGCTCCGTCCTCACGATCCTCCATACTCCGTAGGACGCACCTGGCATACAAGGTTAAATACAACGTCATGCCCACCGTCCCATCTTGGCCATCTCCTCTGTCTCCAGTTTGTAGAGCTTGCTTCCCCCACAGATTCTTCAACCTGTCCAGCTCAGTCTCAAGCACTCGACTACTCGGCACGTCATCGACATTGATACCATACATTGGGTTCGACTCTCACTAGACTGTCGCCTATCTCATCTTTGCGATCAGCATCAACTACTACCGATTCTTCCACAAACAAAATACCAAAATCAGTCAAGATGTGCGACTACACTCAACGGGAATACTCGTGCGGCCACTTCCGCTGGATCGCCTCCAAGTGGTGCAGAGACTACACAATAACCCACAAGCGCTGCCAACCCAACGTCACCCACTTCGAGTATAGGCAGGAGGAGCTTTGCGGTATGTGATCGACATGACTTTCATTTGGAGTTGAATACCTACCGGTTCCTGGCCCCCACGCCATTTCCGGATTCATCATCCTGACAATTCCCCCCCACGTGGACTGAAGGCTGACTTCCAAATAGGCGAATGCAAGCCCAAGACATACCCTCCCTGGGAGAGCATGATCAAGCGCTCCAGCAAGCAGCAGACTTACCTTTGAACGCATCAGTCTTCTGGCGATAACAGACAAGAGAACCACTTCCCCACCGAAACCCGTAATCGCACCGACGATCAGCGGCTTTCAAGGCGGTACAGCAATGTGAGGCTACTAGGCCCATCTGGGGAATCCGGGGATACCGCAATCGGGTGATGACGAGCCAGGCGCCGACCACCTCCACTTGAAGATCTTCACCGAACGAGAGAACGACACTAGAGCGGAAACATTGACAACGGCGACGACGGAGATGAGTATCTGGTCAACCACTGCGGAGCACATGGAACCGGGCCGGTACGCCAAAGACACCAAAGCGGCAGTGCGGGTGATTCCACGCGACAACGACAAAGGCCATACGCAACGCGAGCCCCATGCAGATTCAAGGCAACGATACTTGGGTTGGGAAATTGAACCCTCGGCATCCCATACTTGCCAAGAACCATGGATGGGCCACACCTCACGGTGACCCCCCTTGTCACAGCAGCAAGCACGGACACCACACCCATTCACTCCGACCATCACACAGCAAGCAAGCAACTGGGCGGTCAATCACTTCCAATTTTACAAAAGGAAAAAACCGCAATTTGTGATTGCAAGGGCGCAACGAAGGCATCGGTTATCAATCCACCGGACTGCCGAAAGGGTTTCCAGTTCCAGCCAGCTGCAATATGAGGCATCATCTGCGTCAAGCTGTGATGAGTCCGGCGACCATCCTGTCTCATACGGTCCGGTCCAACCCCAGTGCAACCCTGCCCAAAGTGGTGCTGCAGCATGTTTGGGGGACAGGTCTAGGACATAGAACAACAGCAACAGCCTTGACGGCCAGCTGTCGCGACAACATGCCGTTTCAATCCATCGTCGCATTGTCATGTCAACAACATCATCATCGGTACACGTGGGTGCCATCAGGGCGGCCAGACTTTACTCCTTTCTTCTCCTCCACTCTGACACCCGACTCCCCAACCACAACAGCGGTCGTGTCTCATCACAAGTCACTAGCCTGCGCCTCCCCACGACTTCCGTGCTTCCTCTCATCCAGTTCTAGAAGCCCAACGAGTGGGGGTGAGCGACAGATAGTCCAACCAACTCGAGTTCCTGTGGACATATTAGTTTTATTTTTCCCGCTTCTCTGCGTTTTTCTTTCATTTGGGACATCTTGCGTCTTATACCCTTGGATCTGAAGGCAGATCTTTATCATTCATCATCATCATGGACCATACATATGTGTATGTTTGTCTTGCACATATAGAGCGGTTGTTTTACTGGCGTTTTTTGCCTTTTGCTTGGAGTCTTGGGATCTGCACATTCAACGAGGGAATATAATGGTTATTGGTATCATTGGCGGGCTTTGGATGGAAGGCAAAATGGGATTTACAAGAGGAGGATGAACCGGCTATGGATTGACATGAATTTAGATGGGAAATTAGGAAATCGGCAACTGGAGATAAAAAACGATTCAATCAAATCGATACCTCCATAGCATTCTTAAAAGGCGCTTAAAACGGTGCTTTCATTTGTGTCCCCAAAACGTTTCCATGTCCACGTATTCTGTGAATTTTGCCATCTCGCCGAGAGGCTTGAAACATCGAGCTCCTCGCGCCGAGAATGATAGAAATGCCGCCCTGATGTATCTAACCCTGCGAAGTGGTCAGACCCAGACAAAAAGTAGCGACAAGCGCGGAGGTTCTTCCTCATTGGAGATCCATGCCCGTTTTGTTGTCTTGGCTGTACACGCTGAAAAGGGTTGGCCTACCGAATCACACCGGGCTAGTAAATGTTTGTTTCTATCCATTGGTCAAGCCGAGGGCTTTTGTTCGTCTTACATACATTGACCAAGTGGGTTTGATCGGCAATGGATAAGGGGAGTCTTTACATCTCGAGGACAACAACACGTCTTTTTGGCCATTTTTTTTCTCTTTGAGCAGTCACGGACGTTCTGAGCCCCAGTAACAGACATGGTGAAGTTGATACTTGGTAGACAACGATGATCAACTGTTGTTATTTACGTTGGTAGGCAGCCTCGCAGGCCTCACAGGTAGCGTAGGGGCCCTCTACCATAGACTACTGTAGTGACGGTGTATTCATCTCTGTGTATTATTCCCATTTTCTATTCCCTTGTCACATCCTACCTACACATTATGATACCGCAACCTCAATGCACATCCAGATTAGCGAACGCGAACCGCTAAACCTTCTATAGCTTAGCTAATTGGACGGCACCGATGGTTACTTTTGATCCGTGAGAGCGCGATGATGGAGTGAACTGAAGAATCACGGCCATAATGACGTGACGGTGCTGACTTCCATCAGTGTTTATCATCACCTTTTGTTAGTGCAGTGTCAGAGAATGGGACCGATGGCTACGTAGTAGGCTTGTAGTGTACAGAACAAAAAAATAGCTGTGTGGGATTGGTAGTTTGCGGGTGGTTTTAGTGTAGAAGCAGGGAAATATTATTTGTATGGGTTGTAATTACGGAAAATCGTCCGGCTACGTTGAATGGACGGAATGTTGATCCATCAGGCAGGCAGCACAAAAGTAACGCTCCTCATCACACCGCGTCGGGCTCCGAAATTGCGGGTCAGCGACAGCGGTAGACAGCGGCACACGGAGGTTGAATGGTGGAGGCGGAGTCGGATGGGATATGGGACTTTTTAGTGACACCTACGTACGAATATATCAAGTTGTAACTGGAGAAGTTAATGTAGTATTAGTGGTGAGGCTTCTAGCGCACCTATGGCAAGGTAGGTAGGCATGGTTGTGTTCGCGATCCTGGATCATTTCTCTTAATGCGGGGGTATCATTGAGCATGGTGAACAAGGGCATGTCGTGATGTTTTTGGTGGCCTATGGCACGATTTTTGTCATGGTATTTTTAGCGCTTATCCCCCAGGCGGAATGTAAGACAACACATGGGAACTCCTCTATCCTTTCGGTAGCACGGATCTTCGTCATAAACAGCGGGAAATACCGCCGCCAACACATGACTCCGATGTTCGGTCACAACTCGGTTCGGTTCGGTTCGAGCCTTTCCAAGCTTCTTTGTTTGGGTCTATTAGGGATTCTCCATATCCCTTCCCCCGTACGATGTTCGGAAAGAGGATGTGTTGATGTCGTTGGGAAAGACCATGTGAGGAAGTCAGGTATGGTTTCGGTATTTTAAATTGCGATTAGTCCAGCTTTGATATTTCGGACTTTTTCTGTTTAATTCCAGCGAGTAAGAGTTTGAGACGGCTAGTTGTAAACTTGCATGTTACTGTAGGGGGACATTTAACACCATTGCCTGGCATTGAACGTTGTTTAGACCATAGGGCAACACACCTGTATTACTTGGTAGGAAACCACAGACCAATGATTGTCAGGAAAATGCTCGACAATTAGCATGTGTTACGATGGTTCTTCGACTCGGCCGACCGGTCATGCAGCCCTCTGAGGCGTGTAACACATCGAGTTAACTTGTCGACATTGCAAAGCATCATATGGGTAAGCGTAAGCCCATCGAAGATGACCATGTCAGTCCTACCTTACCTGTGTGGACGGACTTCCGCAGCCTTATGACTGTCCTGGACTGATGCTGGACAGCCGGTGACGACTGAGGGTATGAACAGATGGAGTAACACGTCCATCGGGTAGCCGTAATATTTTCCACTTGGTTCCATCGTTGTGCGAGGCTTGCTTTGTTGGCACGATGGAGGCGTAGAGGCAGCCGGCGAGTCAATACGGGCATTCTGGAATGGTTATACCGTCCGAGAAGGCTTGCCCGGTCCGGGAGAAGTCGGTGCAGTTGCTGTGGTCGGAAGCACCATGTCGGGATGTAGACGGTCATTGGATACGGCTTTGTCCTGTGCCTGTGTTACACGGATGTAGGTGCATCGGTCAACCAGCCATCTGCTGCCCGTCTGAATAGGTTGGTCTGGAATACAGTGATCTTGCAGGCACTCAGTGGGTGGTGTGTGGGGGTGCATTTGGGTCGACGAGGATATGAGGGTATTTTGAACCGCCGTGGTTGGCTATCCGTTCGAGATGCCTGTTAATGGTCTTGAGGCGATACTGTGTAGTATCTCATCTATAAAACACAACTCTGCCTGAGAATACGGCCGTGTTTCCTCCCGAGCTCTCCGAGGTCATGTCAAGCCATGGGTGTGTCGTGCCTCGTGACAGAATGCGTGGTCAACATGACTGGCTAGACATTCATGTTTGCCGCAAATTTGTCACAGGCCGTTGCTGGCAACGGGGCTTCGCTTGCGTCCAAGGTGTTTTACCCCCAGAGTCTCTGCATAGCTGGAAACAAGCCAAAGCGCAACACCCCGTTCATGGCTGGGCTTGGACAAAGGGTGCAAGCAAGCAAGCATCCGCTGAACTGTGATGGTTTGGGTATCTTTGGCCGATGGCTTTTCGTCATACGTACACGTAGTGTGCTTGTGGTAGTGACCGTCAGGAACCATGCGTACGCTATTGGAGGTTTTGGACGTGCGCGGGCAATAGTGTTGCACATCCCAGACAATGCTTTGATTTTTTTTGTTGTTGTTGTTATTTTTAACGTCTACTTCCGCCTCCCGTAGGGCATGAGACGTGCCGCACCGGTGAGTCTAGCATACAAAATTTAGAGCAGTGCCCTAATTGTCCACCAAAACCATTAATCCGAGGGCAAACCGAGGCCTACTGCCAATGTAAATCATGTGTTGCCCATAGCGTAAACGCGGCCCAACACTTATAATCGAATCGCCTAGTGGGCGAGCCGCCACAGACAATGCTTTGATGTGCATTGCTGAAGCCCATCGATCGATGGGATAAGCGCATCTTGCAAACGCCGGTGGAAGCCACAGGACAGCAAGGCCTCATACCTATCACAGCGTCACGACCGCCAGGTTGTTCTTGTGGCGTACAAAAGAGGGTGTCGATGGACGAATGACGTTTGTTTGCTTTGTCGAAAGGAGTCATGCAGAGAAGAAGAAATAAAAAATAGTCAACTTGCCGGTAAGGAGACAACAAGGCCGCAATCTGAAGAG